GTTGGGGGTGTGGGAGGCTCCTAAGTGTGCCTGGGGTCAGGGGCAGGAACATGGGGGTCTGCACTGGGCATGGAGGACAGGGGCAGATGTTATGGCATGTCTTGGGGTGTTTATGGGCATCATTGAAGTCCTCTGTGTATGCCTGGGAGTCAGTGGTGGTTTGAAGTGGGTTTCTTGCTCTATGGGGAGAAGAGTCTCTGGTGGGCGACCTATGTGAAGTGGTGTCTCTGGGTGAATGGGTGGCCACGACAGGTGGCTGTGGATTATAGGAACAATAATTGGAAGTGTAGAGTGATGTGTATAGGAAGGTGAATGGTGAGCTTTGGAGGGTGTCTTGAGTAGTGATGCCACAAACATGAAGGGGCTCTAACATGCTTGGTGGGCATGGGTTGTAGGTCAGTGGCCAAGTATTGGGCCTGAGGAAGTTCACTCTCTGCAGGTGATCGATGGTGGTCATGGTAGGTTACTTTTGGCTAGCCACAGGCAGGGGGAGTGCCAGTTGCAGTTGTATTTTTGTCTCCATCTAAGAGAGTTTTAACCATAAGAGAAGGATTAAAATGAAGCTGAGCCCCTGCTAGGGGAGGACAGTCAGCTGTTCCTGAGTTAGTGCAAACTGTCTGGGGAGAGAAGAAGGTGATTAACATGGGACTGAGGATGATGATGAGTTCCTAAAGTAAAGAAAGGAGTTTTGGTCATGAAACTTAGTAGGACAGATCCTGAGGTACAGTATGTGAGGAAGTGAATAGTGGGAAGGGAGGGAGACACAGCTGTGGGGGGCTCTCTCAGGAGACAGTGGAAGAAATGCTTGGTCCGTGGACAAAAAATGTGAAAGGCAGTGGTCACTGGTGGCTAGCTGGACTGATAGGTAGCAGATGTTTATAGTGACAGCTGCTCCTCCTGCCCCTTCCAGTGGCCTAGTCATTCTGGCTAAAATCAGTTCCCACTGAATTCCATTGCTAAAAGGAGGAAAATGGTTAAATGGAAGCAGTCTTTGCTTTGTTTTTAGTTTTAAGATGTATATAATACTTCTGTTAAGACAGGTTACAAGAACACTATATGTGCTGTTTTAGTAACTCATTTAGAAATAATATTTGTATTATCTTGCATATGTTAAAGAGCAATGCCAAGCTAAACTGCTTGTTAAATGATAAGATTTGGCAAAACAGTGTGTCAGCTTAATCATAAAAATACATTAGCCTTATTACTTTCAGTAGAACTGCACAGGTAAAGCAAGTACATAAGAACTGGCAGGTTCAGGTTGTAACCCTTAGTTTAACTGTAAATCCCCTTATAGATTTAAATGAAACAATACATAACTTGTATGGTAAATTTCATTTACTTCTGGGTTTCATTTAGTTTAGAGGTAGAGATCTGCGGATTGAGTTGGCACAGCATCAGTGAATATGGGAGAATACTGCTCATGTCTAATGAAGGTCTAATTGATTTCATTTTCCATCACTAGCTGCCGTGTTTATTTTGAGAACTCTTTAAAGAGATATTTTTTATTTTATTAAATAACATGTTAGGGAACTGTGAGAAATAGTGTTCAAACTAAGAAAAAACTAGTTTAATGCTGAGAATTGTCAAGTACTGGGATGAGTTACCCAAAGACATTGCTGAGTCTGTGTCTCTGGAGATACTCAAAAATTGACTGGACAAGGCCCTTGGCAACCTGTGCTGGCTGACCCTGCTTTATTCAGGAGCCCTGAGCAGGTGATCTCCGGAGCAGAGATAATCCTTCCAGCCTCAGCTGTTCTGTGATTCTGTCACTGGTAGTCCAGAGCTTTTCAGTTTGTATTAACTTGGGGATAAATACCCTTAAACCATGTCTGTATCTCCCCTGATAGACAGGAAGACTCTTCAAATTGGTCTTTACAAACCTTCGCTCAGAATCATTGTTCAGTTTCATAGTATTTGTAACATCTCTGTGTGAGTTCTTACAGGGCTCATCTTCAAGTTATTGCTGCCCTCTGCTTTAACTGACTTTCAATGTTGATATAATAAGAGCAGTTTGGCTGCTATGAAGTGAAGTGATGCTCCATATACACATCTCAATTGCTTGTTAAAGTCTAACCCAGATATTTTTTATTAATACAGAGAGAGATCAAAGCAGTGGAGACAGAACCTGCATGAAGACTTTTTTCAAAAGAGTGCGATAAGGTACAGTGCTTCCATTTTAACGTTATAGAGCAGTGTATTTTTTTGCCATCAACTTGCTGTTTGCAGTGCTAATCCTAGTGGTGTCTTTTAAGACTTAATATTTGACCAATATTTTCCAAAACCTTTTGAATTTTATAGTCTATATTATGTTGGTCATCTTGTTACCATGATGGATCAGTATGTTAAAAATGCTAAATTGAGTTGATTGTGTGGGTGTGTGTTTGCTGTTTTTTTAAAATAGTGTTCTTTAATGTTCAGGAACAACTTAGAGAATACGGGATTCTATATGCTTTGGCCACCATGTCTGGAATTGGCAGTAAACGGACAGCTGGAGAGCCTGGCCCTTCTGCACCTCCAGAGAAGAAGACAGGGGTTGAGGATTCAGGGACCACAGTGGAGACCATTAAGCTTGGTGGTGTTTCTTCAACAGTATGTCTTCCTTGCACAACCCCATTCAACCTCTTGCTTTTTATTTTAATCTGGAAACATAAATATCTCTGTGTTCTGTATGAGCCCAATGATCTGGCTTGTATGGAAAGTGCCCTGACTTGTGCTTCTGCACAGGAGGAGATGGACATCAGGACCCTGCAGACCAAGAATCGGAAGCTAGCAGAGATGCTGGACCAGCGGCAAGCCATTGAAGATGAGCTACGGGAGCACATTGAGAAGCTGGAGCGTCGACAGGCCACTGATGATGCATCTCTGCTGATTATCAATCGATACTGGAATCAGGTTAGTAACATACTTTGTGATTTTTATAGAAAATACCCTCTTGCCTTGTCTTCTGTTTCCCTGCATTCCTTTCATTCACATCCATTTCTTGTCTTGTCTTGCCTTTCCCATGATTCAGTTTGATGAAAATATCCGCATCATCCTTAAACGCTTTGACCTGGACCAAGGTCTTGGAGACCTTTTGTCTGAAAGAAAAGCGCTGGTTGTACCAGAGCCTGAGCCAGACTCGGACAGCAATCAGGAACGCAAAGATGAGAGGGAAAGA